TCCTAGAGAGATTTTCGTATTTGGAGATTTACTTATTTATTTTCTGGATATGAAGAATGTACTTGATTAAACCGAGCTGGCCATTGCGGTTGATTAAGTCATATCATAGGGCCTTAGGGTCATGTAAAGAAATTCCATCCTGTGAAATTGCCTTTCTCTTCTAGTCATATGGACGTCATAGTCGAGCAATGAGATTTAACTTTCGTCCATATCTGAGAAAAGCTACTGCTGAAAAAGTACACCGTATTACTGGATTGCAGAATTGGTTCTCCGAAATATTGTAAGGGTGCCCAATGGCATTTTCCAGTGGTACTAAAATTGTTTGACGATCTTTACTGCTACTTCTGGTGTCCTTAACCAGGATTTCTACATCTGCATATGGTCGCAAGTTACTCCGAAATTTCGTTTCTTTCAAATTTTGTTTTTGGTTTTGCTTTTCGAAGTTCACTCTTCCGCAAGCATGCACACTTTCACTTTCTGTACAGTTCCCTGGTGGTTCAGTTTTCAGCTGAAGTTTGTGTAGCCAGTAGTATAACTGTTTTCATGATGCCTTTGCCTTAACGCAGACTTAGTGATGTTACTCACCGTCAGATCCGGAAGTTTGTCTGAGTAATTAATTATGAAATTAATTAAGGTATTTTGCCTGTCTTTCTCAGTTTATTGTGGCGACATCGTTCTTCTTGCTTTGCTAACCGACTACTTTTTAGCCGCTACGACTCGATGTTAAAAGAAAGTTGTTGGCACGGTCGGACAGGGTCAAATCGGTGGACCTGCATCCGTCTGAACCATGGATGCTGTGTAGTTTGTACAACGGCAATGTCCACATTTGGAATTACGATACGCAGGTATGCGTCTGTTTAGCGTGTTTCATTTGCTAGTGTGTGTTTGGGAAACTTTATATGAATAAATATCGAAGAATATCTTCTTTGATCTCTGATAATTCTTTGCCGTTAATTGGTTTGAGTAATAAGTGACAGATGATTCTGTAATTTTTGTCTGTAAGAAGAGAAAAGATAAAAACTTCATTGCCTTCTGCTGTTTTATTGTCTTAACTGATGGACGATATTAGAACAGAAAGAATAATTTTTCCATGCATTTTCGTTAGTGTATAGAATTGGCTACGGTGATCAGACGGCGGAGTTGGGGGAGACGAAGGTCGTCGTCATCAAAAGCAGAACGAAAAAGCTGCTTTGGTCGAACATGTAGCTTGGCTCACTAACGGTAGATAATATTCGTCTGGTACCCAGGTGGGCAGATTAGGCCGCTTGATTGCCTACCAGAATAGTGAGAAGATTAGCTCAGGTGCTTGGACTGCTGCAAGGAATGACGAGCGTGTTGCGGCCGCAGTGATTAGCTGATTACTGGACGGTAAAAGTGATCCATAGAGTTTTTCACCTCTAGCTATTTGAACCTGCTACTGTGAATCGAACTGTCTTTAAATTCTAATATTTTTTGAGTCGTTTTCGACTTGATTGATTTATGTAGGGAAACAGTTCCTTCTCTTTATATTAACAAACTTGTCATGCCCATCGTAAAACGGCCGCCAAAGCAGAATATCTGATCTGCCAGTGCTAAACGACTGTTCGAATTAGCGCAGTCGAAGCCTATGACTGACTGATTGACGCATGGCGGGCTTAATATCAGTCAGCACAAGGTATAACCGGAAGTGAAAAGGTTAATTAGAACAATTTAGCATACTTCTTTTAGCAGTATTCACGCGACTGTCTGTGTGTTTTCTAGTATGTATTTATTTCGTTCTGAACACCTGACTTGATTTAGCAACTGTTAAAATCGTTCGAAGTATGCGATTTGCCGGTTAGGGTGGCGAAGTTCGTTCCTCGCAAAAACTGGTTCCTGACAGGTTCGGTACGCTATATACTTTTATTTTGATTCATTTTATATCAACCTTGTCGTTAATTAGGATGATATGCAAATTCGGGTGTTCAATTACAATACATTGGAAAGGATTCATCAATTTGAAGCACATGCCGACTATGTCCGGTCGTTGGGCATCCACCCCACTCTGCCGTATGTTTTGAGCTGCAGCGGTATGCGAAAATTAAATTGTAAAACTGCGTATAATTTGCATCTTTCTCGTGTGTAGATGATATGACGATAAAGCTGTGGGACTGGGACAGCAAATGGCAATGCAAGCAAACGTTCGAAGGCCACTCGCATTACGTCATGCAGTTAGTGATCAATCCTAAAGATACGAATACGTTTGCAACCGCCTGTCTTGATCGAAGTATAAAGGTATGTTTGTCAGAACACATGCGTTCAATCTTTTTACCGTTAACAAGTTATGCTTTAATTTCAATAACTGTTCGTTACGAGTAGAAATGGTAATACGGATAACTTTTTTTAAATGTTTTGTGGTAACGCCTGATTTATTTTCGGAAGGAAAAATAAGAAAGTTTTTAACCATTGTTATGTCATACTTCCTTACAGTTTATAGCCAATTCTGGCATTATTTTCATGAAACTAGTGATATATCGCTGTTCTTCATTTTTATGCCATTAGCCAGGAGTGCCTTATTTTAAAGTCAGATTCGACGTCAGCGATGTAGTGTAGTCTGTTGTGTGCGGTCACCTGTTTCCTGTTCACAGTGGCACTCATTTATCAACGTCGGAAATAAGGAAGGCGAGTGATCTGATCAGGAATCGAATTCAGTACATCTCAGTTTGAATCAGACACTTTACCGACTAAGTAACCTCGGTCCGATTTCTTTTATCATCTTTGAATAAACCTATGATGAATTGTAGTGTGTCAGTATTGCATTCTGATAAGCGTGCATCGCTATTTTACTTTAAAAGAAACTTAAAATTCATTCATAACTTTTTTTTCTGATTTCGAACCTTACATTGGCTGAGATAACAACAACTTTTTATAGAGGCAAAGCGGCTTGTGATGATGGACTTGGCCTTTGAATGTTGCCTGATATTTAATCTGAAGCACCATTTCTAACGGCCAGACTTTACCGGGACTCTCTGATGTTTAGTCTTTGCTTACCTTAGAAGGGGACGGCAACAAAAATTATTTTTAAGCCTAGGCTGTTCATTAGTTCAAGAATAAGTTATTGCGTAAATATAGACATTGTTCATGAACGAACAGCAAAACGGTTCTCGTTCATTGTGTCTGAATTTTAATATGGTACATTCCTGTTGCACGTTTCATTATTTTGCATATTACCAGGTCATTTCTAATAACTGTTATTATTATAAACATGATCTAAGGCAACAGATTGTGGAAAGCTGAGTTGTCCCGATTGGGGATGTCTGACTCGATAGAAATGGTGTCTCAGATTTATGTTGAGCTTAGTTTGTGGCTGCAGCAGAAATAATATTTCTCGCTGCAAGTATGTATACGTCCACGATGTATTCAGAACTTGCATATTGCCCGCCTAGCCATCTGCAGTCACCACACATGTAGAAGTGATTTTCTTCCCTATAGAAAAGAACTGATTTCCATTCTCGGTTTGGACTGTTTTATGAAAGTGCATTAAATACCGTCCTCGACGTTCACCTTCTTAGCTTTGCCATCGTTTTGAGATCGGTTTGCCACTAGTATCTGTTGTTTGTGATACAAACATACCATCGCAGTTTC